GATTTACAAATAAGGAATCCTACTTCGCGGAATTTCATTTATCATGGTAGGGTCTAGAACCGATTAACCGCGATAAACGAGGGTTCACTGTAATCACCTGTAAGCTTTGCTTTGGATTCCTTCCCACATTACCCCAGCACCTTCCAGAGCACTTTAGTCATGTGCCCTCTACCCCAAGTTGCCATCCTCTATTAGGAGGACCATGGACATGGGTGTACATCACATCTAGGCTTCTGTGAACCTCTGTGATTGTATTCAAATACTCAAGACAGACTTAGCAGTTTAAGAAGCACAACTATTGTTATTCTTAAAATTTTAATTATAAAGGTTCAATTCCAAATAGTTATAGCTAGTTCCAGGAAAGTCAAACTCTGGATCCAAAGAACAGGAAATGAAGCTGCTCCTGTAGGATTCCCTGAAACAAATCTCTTTTTGGTAAACTGCGCTGGGCAGAGTGGTGGAGGGTAAAGGAAGTGGTGCTACAAACCCTTGGGCCTGTCCTGCCCTTGGGGGACTAGACTGAGAAACAGGATCTTTACAGCAATTGATATCATCAAACACACACACTTATCTCTGGTACAGCAGCTGTCAGTTTTTTAGGGACATGGTATGCTTGATGCATATAATGAAAGGTATGGATCCTATTTTCAAGTAACTTCATGTTTGCACGTAAAAACAAAACTTTGTATATAATTTCAAGGAGATTATAGGTAGAGACCCCAGGCTAAGGGCCAAAACTTCTGACAGGGAATAGAAATTAACTCACACACTCACCACTCACTTTTTGTCCCATCAAAAAGGAAAGCCAGCATTTCAATGAGAACTGGCACATGTCCACTAAGAAGTATACTGAAGACTTTTGAAGAGAACAATCACCTCTAACTATCTGTAAGTGACATTTAAGCCATCCCTAAATTACGACAAATGGCATCTCTTCCCCAGTCTTTGAGAAGTTGAACTCCTAAGTTAAATTGGAAGTGGTACATCTGGTTCCTGTGGAGCCTGCTTTTAGAGCAGCGGTTCTCAACGACCCTTTCACAGGGGACGCCCGATTCAGAACAGTAGCAAAATTACAGTGATGAAGTAGCAATGGAAATAATTTTATGGTTGGGAGGGGGTGTCACCACATGAGGAACTGTATTAAAGGGTCGCAGCATTAGGAAGGTTGAGAACCACTGTTTTACAGCAAGATAAGGCCAAAGCCTTTTAAATGATTTAAAAGTTGCACACATCACAAGTAAAGATGATTGTGATTGATGCATTTTGAGTAGGAGTTCATTCAATGATTTCAACCTGGGGACAAATTTCCATAACATTAAAGCAGGGCTTCAGCCAACCACTCTGCACGCGTGTATCGCTCTCCACAGACCCAAAATCTCCTGCTTCAGGTCCCTGATAGAACTCACTGTGCCTCTACTGAGTTTTCCCTTCCAGGGCTTCCACCATCATTTTTTCCAAGTCAGTTCTTGTAAGGCAGGGGTGGTAGGGGCGGGATAATTAAATGTTTAACTAGGATGGCCCTCAAGTGAAGTTATCAAGTTAATGATATCCAAATGGCACTTGGCAGAAAAAAGGTTCCCCCTCCCTGGGGCATGCAATCAGTCAAATGGGTAAACACAAGCCTACTCCTATTTTACTTCATTGGCCATTACAGAACTGGTTAGAAGCACTGCATTAAAAGACCAGCAGTAGAAGTCGGAGGAGAAGGAGCCCTGGTGGTGCTGTGTGTTAGGCATTGTGATGTTCACTGCAAAGTTGGGAGTTCAAACCCACCAAGAGCTCCAAGGGAGAAAGATGAGGCTGCTTGCTGCTGTAAAGATTTACAGTCTTGGAAACCCCATATAAAGTCAGCATGAATGGACGTTGACTTGGTGACAGTGGGCAGGAGTTGCACATAAGTCAGATATTTGTAACCTGGGGACTGCCTGTACTGTCACTCATTTGATCCCAGGTTAAAATTGTTGAATAGAGTTTTTAAATAAATGGGTCAAAAATGTTAAACTCTCTGTTCCGGGGCATACTATAACCATAAAACCTACTAATGCTCAAACTATCTCAGCAGATTAGTAGCGTGGGTTTGTGTGAATAATTCTGTTTGTAATCTACGTCTTTCCCTATTTTCTTCATAGCCTTCTTATTAAGGGTGTTTTCCAACTTTGCCACGTTAAACACAAATATTAAAGTAAATTTAAACTGCTCAAGAAATAGCAACAGTGTAAGATATGAAATAACAATACA